GTACAACGTACCAACATTGCCCCCACCTGCCCCTAAGTCCCCCTCCCTCTTTCTGTTCCCTCCCTCAGCTTCCATGTGAAATGTGGTTTGAAAACAGGGTTCTTCCAAGATAAAAAGGCTGAAAAGCACTGATAGTCAAATCCCTTCGTTGCACAGAACTGGAAACAGAGGCTCTGATGGCGAAAGGGACTTACTGTCTGCCACTTACCTAGGCAGAGACATGGCTCAAGCTCTTCCCCTGGCACCTGGTGTGGAGCCAGAGTCGAAGAGTTAAGACTGTCCGTGCTAGAGCCAGACCTGGGTTCAAATGTTGACACTGCCCGTCTGGCTGTTCAATCATAGGTAAGTCCCTTAACCTCTCTGTGCATCAGTGTCCTCATCTGTGAGCCGGGAGTAATAACTACCTCAGCCACCCAGGTAACTGGCCACGAGGGCCTGCCAGAGTAGGTGTTCAGCAAGTTTGAATGACTTCGGGCAGCCCGAGAAGGGTTGAACCAGCTGCCTGACTCAGGCTCCTGCTTCCCCGCCCCTTTCTAGTACGACAGGACAGAAACTGCCGTCAACAACCTCAATCCCGCGTTCTCCAAGAAGTTCGTCCTCGACTACCACTTTGAGGAGGTGCAGAAGCTCAAGTTCGCCCTGTTTGACCAGGACAAGTCCAGCATACAACTCGATGAGCATGATTTCCTGGGCCAGTTCTCCTGCAGCCTGGGCACGGTGAGCCGGGCCCCTCCCGGTGGGCGAGGGCAAGGGAGTCCTCACGTTGGGCATCACCCTGCTCCCAAGGACAGGGCGGTCCCTTGGAGAGGGCCTCTGCTGCCACCTGCTTTCCCTGGCCCCATTTTCCTGGCTGGCTTTCGAGGTAGCATCACAAATGCGGATAGGCTTGGGGGGCAGCAGGCACGAAAGGGGGTAAGCAGCCTGGTGGTTTGGGGCCAGGCTGAAGAGTTTTCGGTGGAAAACACTGAGCACGGTGCCTGCGAGCTGTTGCCACACAGGACTGGGGACCCCACGTGGCCAGAACCGATTGTCAGAAGTGATCAGATGCAGTCTTGACTTCCTGGCTTAGGAGCACCTGACCAGCAACCACGGCACCCACGGGCATCCTTCTCCGTGGCTGGCTTACCGTGTAACCTTGGGCAACTTCCTGTCTCTCTCTGGGCCACACTTTCCCATCCAACTCAGTCCTTGGTGAGGTTATCGAGGCTGGAGATCGCAGGGTTAGGAGTTCCAGCCCTTTTTGCTGTGTGCCCTTGGGCAAGCCCCCACCCCCTTCTGGGCCTCAGTCTCCCCCCATTTCACTTGGGGCCTGCTGACGACTGCTTAGTCTATGGTGATGATGGAGGAACAGTGCACATTAAAAATGGCCTGGGCCTTCCAGGAGATGGGATGGAAAAAACGCAAGGGCCCACCGTTGTGTGAGAAGCAGGGTGTGTCCCTGGGATTCTGCCTGGAGTCCTCGCCCTCAAAGGGTAACTGAGGAGAGAGCTGGAGGGTGAGCTGGTGGCACCTGCCAGCAGCAGGACTGCCCGTAGCCTGGAGAGGGGGCAGGGCGGGCAGCAGGTTGCCAGGGCCCCGTGAGAGATGTGGCCACAGCATGGAGGCCTCTGGACTAGAGCTGAAGCCGTGGGAGCGTCAGGTCTGCCAAACCACCGCTCGGCCTTGCTCTCCTCCTGGTCGTCTGGTGCCTTTTGGCGCCCCCCGTGGCTGTACCCACAGCCCAGGGTTGCGCGCGGGGTGATGAAGGCCACCGTGCTCCGAGCAGGTAGGGAAGGGCGAGGGCAGGAGTGGACTGGGGAGGAAAACCAGCACGTGCGCACGGCAGCACAAAGAAACACTGGCATCCCCCCCCCCAAGAAACCGAGGACCAGGGTGGCCCAGGAAGAGTGTGGGGATGGGGTACAGAGATGGCGGAGGGGCAACTTTACAACGTGTTCTGCTCTTCCTCTCTCTATTGTGTTGATCGCCGACCGAGCGCTGTGTGCATGTCCTCTCTCTTCGGAGCGTGAAAATACATAGGATTTGCTCTTCTCCGTCAGGATCACACCCTGAGGAGGGTGGGGTCTGTAGGTGGCTTTGGGGGAGGCAGTGAGGGGGCTTGACTCCCTGCAGGGGCCTCCAGAATGTGAGCCTGGTAAGAGCCTTTGCCTGGGGGCAACCGGGTCAGTGGGAGTGGACTGCAGGGATTGCGCCCCAGCTGTGGGACATCCAGCGAGTGTCTTAACCCCTCTGGGCGTCTGTCTCCTCAGCTGCGCCCTGGAGTCAGCGATGGTTGCTGGTTGCGTGGGGAGGTGTAGCCAGCGACCCGCCAGCGCCAGCGCGGAGCCGAAGCCGCGTGCATGCGCGTGCTGTGAGTGGTGACTGCTGAGCATTTTTCCTCCCCACCAACCCTCAGGAGCGCCACTCTCCTCTCTCCTTCCCCACCCCAGATCGTCTCCAGCAAGAAGATCACTCGGCCTCTGCTGCTGATGAATGACAAGCCTGCAGGGAAGGGCCTGATTACGGTACCAGCCCCCTCCCTGCTCTCCGCACCCCTCTGCCTTTGCTCGCTGCCCTCCCCCATCAATGGGCTGCTTCCCTGCCAGATAATCACCAGCTTTGTTTGGAGTAAAAAGGCCCAACTTACAACTTAGCAACAGGTCTCTTAGCAACGGGCTCCTGGCTCCACATATGATGCGTTGGGGGCCGCCAAGCTGGGAGTCGGGGGCTTGCTAGAGGCCCCTGTGGCCTCCTACTCCCAGGGCAGGGGCGTTCCTACTCATTCCTGGAGTCCACCCTAGCCCTCCCAGCTGGCCCTCCCCTCCTGGCCTGCCCTAGGGGGTCTTTGAGGAGCGCCTGACCCGTGGAGCTCTGTTTGCGGCTGCAATGCGCAACGGTTCCAACCGCGCGATGCGCAATAGTTCCAGCCATGGGATGTGCAATGATTCTGGTGATGCGCAATGAGTCCAGCCTTACACAGGCCCTCTGCTCGGAACAGTCCTGGGTCCTCAAGGTCTCCTAGAAGGCTGGGAAACCTGTTTTACAGATGAGGGACCTGGAGCCCAGAGAGGAAGTGCCCTGGGGAGGTGAGGCTCAGTGAGATTCTCTCCCTTCAGAGACTGCGTGAGGCCAGAGGAACTGGCCAGCTAGAGGGAGGAGGGCCAAACCTATATGTGCTCATATATAGTCACCCCCCCCTGCTCTGGAGCCTCCCTGGCTCCCCACTGCCCGTGGCGCTTTGCATTCAAGGCTGTGAGGGACCCCACCTTGCTTTCCTGCCTCAGCCGTGTTTTACGCCTTCGTGTGCATACTCTGGCTTCAAGGCAAACTGAATTCTTAGTATACCACACATATCACAGACCATTATCCACGGTTCCTGCCGCCTTGAATGTCTCCTCCCAACCTCTTGGGGTTCACAACCTCCTTATCTAAATACCTTCACCAGCCAGCTCCCCTCTACCTGGAAACCAGCCCGGCTGGTGTAACTGTTACCCCTAGCACTTCCACTGTGCCACTCCAAACCTCAGTTCCTAATTCTGTGAAATGGGGGCAGTAATAGGACCTATCCTGCAAGGTGGTTGAGCAAGTCTCTGCTGGAGGAGAGGAAAGGGAGCCTGGCATCCAGCCTGGCTTCCGTGTAGTTCTGGAAGGTCAAGTATCTTGTAGGTAAGGCTGTCCTACAGGTGTGGGGGGAGAGGAAGCCCTAGCCAAGAGAGGACCCAGCTCACCTGTGTTGCTGTTGGCCCAAGGGCGTTCCCTGCTACCCTGTGAGGAAGCGGAGACAAAGAGAGGCCTAGAGAGGGCAAAGGTAGCCCCAAGGTCACTCAGCTGGTCCATCACTGGCTGGGTTGGGGCCATAGGGTCATGGCCAATGGTGAAGGTGTGGAAGACAGATGACAGCATGAGCTGACAAGACAGCAGAGGGAGCTCAGGTGACTCCTGGACCTCAGTTTCCCTAGCTGCACGGTTAGGTTGCTAGAATCCCCCAATGCCGTGGCATTTTGAGGTCTGCAGTGGGGCATGAGGGGGCCTGTCAAGCTGCTCCCTGGCCCAGAACCTCTCCCTAAGGCTCAAGACCTCCCCTCATGTCTGGTAACAGCTTCACATGGCCTCCTCTCTTGAGCCACACGGAGTCACTTCTGGTTCCTCATATTCAGATGGGTTACCCCATTTTCCAGAAGATGGCAATGGAGGTTTTGGAAAACCTCCATTGAAAAGACAAGGGGCATGACCAGGGTGGCCCGGTACTCCCCCTCCTCCTTTTTCCCCTTCCCAGCCCTGGAGAACTGACTCCTGAGCACCCGTGCTCCCTCTGCCTGGCAGGGCGCCAGGGGGAGCCAGAGGGACAGGTCCCACCCCTCACATTCCTGTGGCTTTACAGATTGCTGCCCAGGAGCTGTCAGACAACCAGGTCATCACGCTGAGTCTGGCGGGCAGGAAGCTGGACAAAAAGGTAAGACAGGCGAGGAGGGGTTTCTCCATCAGGGAGCAGTATCCCTCCCCCAGCCCAGGGGTGTGCGGCCTAACCCTGGTGCTTCTGGCTATCACCTTTATCACCCCGCATCCAGGAACAAGTCCGTAGCTTAGGACCAAGTTAGAACCTCTTTACCACTGAGGTGGTGAGTTTCCCGTTATTTAGAGGTATTCAAGACGTAACTGGAAGCCCACTGCTCAGTATAAATTGCTAGGATCCTTATAGTAACATACAGGGCCCCGCCCCCGTCACAGCCCCCGACCCCCACCCCAGACCTCACCCTTTCTACTCTCCCCACCTTCATTCTGCCTCAGCCAAATCAGCCTCATCATTGTTCCAGGATTACATCAGGCACTCTCCTCAGGCCTCAAAGGCCTCAGGACCTTTGCCCTTGGTATTCCCTCTGCCTGGGAAGTTCTTTTCCCTGAATGTTCCCTGACACATTTTTTTTTTTTTTT